ATTGACACGGGTGCATCTCATTCTTTTGTATCTGCTGCATTTGCATCTGTTTTGGAATTGAAGTTGGCACAGTTAGCATCTCCTATTTGTGTGGTATCGCCTATTGGTGGTGAGTTGATCTTGAAACAGGGTGTTAGAGGTTATGATATAGAGGTCGCCGACCATCGGCTTCCTTTTCCATTTGTGGTCATGCCCATGAAGGGCTTTGATGTTATTTTGGGTATGGACTGACTATCGTCATACTGGGCTGTTATCGATTGCTACCGCCAGAGGGTCACGTTATGTACCTTGAGCGGGGAGTGGTTCCATTTCTCCGGTTCATCAAGTCCATATGTTTTGCCACCGGGGTATGAGACAACTGCGGCGGCAAAGCTAAACGATAAGCAACCTCCCCAATCCTCTCAAGGATCTCAAAGGGACCGATAAACCGAGGGGATAACTTCCCACTCTTCCCAAACCTCATCAAACCCCGCCTAGGTGATATTTTCAAAAAAACATGACCTCGGCCCAACAAACTGGAGACCTACACGGTCGGCCATACAAGGCCTCAAACGGTGCCATACCGATACTAGACTGAAAGCTGTTGTTGTAGGCAAACTCCACCAATGGTAAGTGCCTCTCCCACGTCCCACTAAAGTCAAGGACACAACCCCGAAGCATATCCTCAAGGATCTGAATAGTACACTCGGACTGCCCTCAGTCTGAGGATGATAAGCCGTACTAAAGGTCAACTTAGTACCCAAGGCACTCTGCAAACTCTGCCACAACCTGGCAGTAAAACGAGGATCTCTATCTGAGACGATCGTCACTGGGACCCCGTGCAATCTCACTATGTCCCGAATATACAAGTCGGCGAGAGATCTACCGAATCTCTCACGCGCATGGGAATGAAGTGCGCCGACTTAGTCAACCGGTCTACAACCACTAAATGGCATCACTACCCCGCTGAGTCCTCGGAAGACCTACAACGAAGTCCATAGTGACGTGTTCTCACTTCCACTCGGCAATAGGCAAGGGTTGCAACAACCCGCTGGCCTCTGATGCTCGGCCTTCACTTGCTAGCAAGTAAGGCACTTCGATACGAAAAACAACCACATCTCTCTTCATACCCTGCCACCAAAACTGGCGACCCAAATCCCGATACATCGTAGTACCTCCGGGATGCACCGCAAGATGTGAATGGTGAAACTCTCGGAGTACTTCCTCTCGGCAAGACTCCGCACAAACAAACCGTCTCGGTATCTCACACTCAGGTCGGGATACACCGTCAAACCCCTTCTCAACTTTCCCACCGGAATCTTCTCTCGGAAGGACTCAACCTCAAGGTCACCTCTCTGTGCCTCTAACACTCGAGTGACAAGTGTAGGCTGCGCAACAACAGAAAACAAGGCCGCAGCCTCAACGGATTCGCCTAGATGCAAATCAAACTCGCCAAGTACAACTAACATTCCCCATTCCCGGATGGCTATACAAGCTACATCACTAATGGATTTCCTACTAAGGGCATCGGCCACAAACATTGGCCTTTCCCGGTGATAGTGCAACTCAAAAATCATAGTCCTCAATGAACTCCATCCATCTCCTCTGCCTCAAATTCAAGTCTCTCTATGTAAACAGATACTTCAAACTTTTGTGTCGGTCGAGAATACCTCGAACCTCTCACCATAAAGGTAGTGCCTCCAGATTTTCAAGGCAAAGATCACTGCTGCTAACTCTAGGTTGTGTGTAGGGTAATTCTTCTCGTGAATTTTCAACTGACGTGAGCCATAAGCTACCACTTTCCCCTCTTGCATCAACACACAACCCAAACCCTCTCGTGAGGCATCACAATAAACAGCATAACCCAACCCTCTCTCCGGAATAATCAAAATCGGAGCGGTGGTCAATCTACCCTTCAACTCTTGGAACGACTTTTCACAAGTCTCACTCCACACAAACTTGACCCCTTTCCGCGTCAATCTAGTCAACGGCGAAGCTAGTCTGGAAAAAATCGTTCACAAACCGACGGTAGTACCCAGCTAATCCAGAAAACTGCGGATCTCAAACACACTCTTAGGCTGCGCCCAATCTTGCACTGCCTCTACCTTGGATGTATCAACAGACACTCCTCCCCTGGATACCATGTGGCCTAAGAATTTCACCTCTCCTAGCCAGAACTCACACTTCCCAAACTTAGCATACAGCCTATAGGCTCTAAGCAACTCAAGCACCACTCTCAAGTGTTCCTCGTGTCCTCCTCTGAAGGCGAGTAAACCAGGATGTCGTCCACGAAAACGACTACAAATTGATCCAAGAATTTCCGAAAGATCCGGTTCATCAAATCCATAAAGACTGCCGGTGCGTTGGTAAGCCCGAATGACATCACCAAAAACTCATAATGGCCATACCGCGTACGGAATGCCGTCTTAGGAATATCCTCCTCCCTGACCCTCAACTGGTGGTTAACCCGATCTCAAGTCTATCTTAGAGAAACAACGGGAACCCTTCAACTGGTCAAACAAATCATCTATACGGGGCATAGGGTTCTTATTCTTGACCGTAGCCCGATTCAACTTTCGGTAGTCGATACACAATCTCAAGGCACCATCTTTCTTTTTAGCAATGAGGGCCGGTGCTCCCCACGGTGAAACACTAGGGCATACAAAGCCCTTATCTAGCAATTCCTGGAGCTGAACTTTCAACTCAACCAACTCTGCTGGAGCAAAACGGTAAGGTGCCATAGAAATCGGCGCGTGCCAGGCACCAGATCCAATAGAGAACTCTATCTCTCGATTGAGGTGGCAAACTAACAAGGTCCTCGGGAAAAACATCCGAATACTCACAAACCACCTCTGGCAACACAACATGGGTCTCATCACACTCACCACTCAAAAAGCTAACAAGTGACCACTAAGCTCACTCCGCCCTCGCGAATCATACCCGGTGGGCAAAACACTACCAACCCGGTCTCCCAAGAAATGGAACCACTTCTCCGCTCAAGGTACATAACGTGACCCTCTGGCGGTAGCAATCGATAACAGCCCAGTATGACGATAGTCAGTCCATACCCAAAATAACATCAAAGCCCTTCATGGGCATGACCACAAAATGGAAAAGGAAGCCGATGGTCGCGACTCCTATATCATAACCTCTAACACCCTGTTTCAAGATCAACTCACCACCAATAGGCGATACCACACAAATAGGAGATGCTAACTGTGCCAACTTCAATTCCAAACAGATGCAAAATGCAGCAGATACAAAAGAATTGAGATGCACCCGTGTCAATCAACACACTAGCAACACGAGTTGCAAAACAGAAAAGTACCTCTCACTACTGATGGAGCCGGTACTAAATCCTGCGCGGGGAGTGGTAACAGCATACACGCACCCTGTAGGCCCCTTATCCATTGCTCACTCGGAGAAAAGACTGCTGCACAGACTGGGATGACGAAGCTCCCGGATTGGCCCTTCGAGCCTAAGTATAACTAATAAAACTGGCGATATAATCTGCGTCTGTCTAGAAGCCAGATGCTCCTGAGAGTGCATTAAACTGCGAGCAATACCTTTCAGTCTCATTCAGCTGACCACATTGATGCAAGACAAGGGCTTGCCCCTGCCTACTCTGCCCTAGTACTATGCTCGAGGAAGCAGCTCTTTGACCCCCTCTCTCTGCCGGGCAATACCGAAGACTTGTGACCCACTGGCACACGCTAAATATATCGCTTCTCCTGACTACGCCTCTCCCGAGCCTACACTCTGCACCGAAGGTTCGATCTACACTCACCCTAGTATATGGCTAGTGTATGGGGGGATAAGGGGGGGACTTATCCACTGTTGCGACTCCATGTCGGCCTCCTCCTTATCCGTCGTTTGATTTTTTATCGGCGCCTCCATGTCCCCCCATATGACTATCCTATCTGGGGGGGATTGGTTTTGGGGGACTAAATTCACACTGTTGAAATCGATATAATAAACAATTTGACCAGTCTACTATTTAATAGATTATATTTAATAAAATTTAAATGTCTCAATTTAAAAATAAAATATTTTATAATACTTTTATTAATGTTTTAATTATTCTATTTTTTAAATATATATATATATTATTTTATTGATGTTTTTATTTTAAAATTTTGTTTATGTTTTATTTTAATTTCATTATTTAAATTTAATAAGTTCATTATTTTAAATTTTAATACTAAATAGATGTTTTATTTAAACAATTAAATGTTTAATTCAACAATAAATATTCATAATTAATAGTTTTATCTAAACATTTTCTCACATCAACAGTTATTAAATTATTTCAACATCTGTACACAACAGGTATATTTATTTAACATCTATTAAATATGTTTTAAGACAGTCAACATTTGCTATACATCACATTTGTTAATTGTAATTAACATCAACCATTTGTTTAATTGTTTAAACATAAATTTGTACATCAACATTTATTTAATGTTAATTGTTAATTGTTTTAAACAATAATCTGTACATCTCTCTCTATATATCTATATATATTAAATAAAAATTTAACATTATATGTTTAATTTTCAACAATAAATTTTTATTTGTTTTTATCAATATTTATATATATCTAAACAAATTAACCATTAGTATGTTAATGTTTTAATTGTGTAAAACTAAACAAACACAGTAAAGTTTTGCATGCTAAAAAAAATAATGATTTTTATAACAGTAAATGATTTAAAACAAATTATTGATATTTTTATTATTTATTATTTATTAAAAAAAATAATTTATTTAATTAAAAATAATTAAAATATAAAGATTATGTTAATATTTGCACTATTACTTTAGTAACAATGAAAAGGCGTAAAATAGTCTTTTGTTCATTTATCCTATCCAGTCCGTCAACTCAAAACCGTTGGATTCACTGAAAATAGTCTTATCCAGACATCTAATCCCATGAAAAAAAACAAACACAGATACATATCCAATCCCACCAAATAGTCGGGGGATTCACAGTCCCAGGACTCAAGTACGATGGATTTCTAATCCCCATTTTCCAGTCCTCCAATCAAACACACCCTGAGGGTACTAGAACCCTCTGTCTCTTGCCACACCCTGACCCTCCTGGCCCCACTTGGAGGCCCTATGTCTCTCCTCGTTTCCTCTGCATCATGAGCTCTATATGAAGCTGCAGCATCCACTAAATGTCATTATACTCGTCGGATGTAAGAACCTACCAACCTTCAACTTGGGCCCCGCCTCAACTCCGCTCAAAACTCATAGCATACGCGTTCTTCGAAACGCACCACTTAGGTTGCAAACTAGACAAAACTAGTGAAAAATGGCCTCGAAAACTCTGCCACAGACATTACCCTACTGATTTAAGCGGCCTAACTGATCCCTCAGCTTCTCCCTAGCCACTGTAGATAAGAAACCTCTCTTGAAACAGCATTTACAAACGCCTCCCAGCTGACCTCCAACACGAGCCTCCTGGTGTACTCTCCACCATTGACCCGCATCTCCCTTTCAAGCTAATGGAAGGGATGCCAAGGTCACTTTCAGTGCCCCGTCCTCGATGCAAGCATCTCGAACGTCTTACTCATTTATTTCCAACCACTCGTCAGCCTTCAGTGCGTTCCTTTGGATCCCAACAAACTCATCCGGGTTAGACCGGAAGAACTCCTCTTCAAGAAGAAGGTCCCTGCCTCAGCTGCCGAATTCCCAGCTCCTGTAGAATACCCCAAAGCTCTGCTATCTCTCGTTGCCAAGGCACTCATAGCCTTTGCTGATCCCGCTGGCTCGGCCACATTGGCCTGACCAACTCCCTCCTGCACTGCCGGAACCTCCTCCGTAAAGGCACTCCTGCCTAACCACGTCTTGCCCACGTCCTTACCGCGTTCTCGTCCTGACCATCCTAATAAAAGTAACCAAGACTATTAGCACATTCATAAATGTGCCGAAGTATAACATCCCGTCCTTAATGCTATTGGACAACTGTAATCATTCCACGTAAGCACATAAACACATAAGCACTTACAATTTCATTTCCGGATTAATGGATAGTCCCGAGGCGTTTACTAGAGTTGCCGGTTAGAAAACAGCATTGATCAAGTGCCTTTCCAACAAAGACTCACAGGAAACCCAAGGATCAATTCAACATCCTAGAAACTAGAAATCCCATACCCACATAGTCACATAACATGTTATCAAATTAAGCACATAGCATAGACACTACATTCTAGGTCTCTATCAAGCAGAGACAAACCCATTGTTTGATCCTAATCAGCTTCCCACGTACCCAAAAAGTATTCGAAAACCCGGTACGCTCTGATACCAAGTTTTGTAACGCCCTCAAAATAACAACATAAAACCATCAATATAGACATGGCATTGATATATAAAGTTCCACAGTTCTTTTATTCATCAGAGTCCCATAATCAAAAAGTATTACATGTTTAACAATAAAAGAAAATGCCTTAGAGGCTTACAGCTTTCCAAAGTTAACACTTGGTTAACAACAAAAGAGTGCTAAACTCATTTACACATTAAGCCCTTTGGCTTGAATATACTGGTAATACATCAAAGAAATAAAACAAACAAAAGTCGCCTGCCTCTAGCCTCCAAAGCTACGTCCTTGGGGTGGCATGTACCTGTACCTGAAAATTGATATTC